CCCCTTTGTCGGAGAAAGGTAATGATCGGGGATGCACTCTCTCTGATGGAAACCWAARCTGYCRGMARYYRATTTYAATYGTTGAAATTTGTTTTTGCAAAATATATTTATATAAAGATATACATATATATTACGGTTTCAAAATGTTTGCAAAAGGTTTTAATTCTCGGGATCCATGTGAGTGGAGAGTGCAGTACTGTTCCTTGCAGCCGAGGGAGGGATCCTCTCTTGTCGGGTAGTGTTTGATCATTATGGGCTGAGAGATTAAGTGTAAGACCATTGAGGGTAATACCTGATGGGCTAATCTTGCATCTGCCCACAGTCCTTGGGTTTTTATAAGGTGGCTTGGCCCAGGGACCACTTAGTGTAAGTGTTGGGCCCGTTAAGAGCCCATGGTGATGGGCTCAGGGGTTCACTATCCATAACAGTGAATTCGGCCAGGCCTTGTAACAGAGGCCAGGCTGAACCCATGTGGATGATGTGTAGATCAATGTTTGGGTCCCACGCCATACAAGGAAACCCAACTATGCAACAGTTTGGAAGGTTAGTGAGCACATAAACTTAATGGGCCTAAAGCCCAACTCGAACTGGTCTAATTTGATTAGTTAAAGAAGGGGGCAGATCTGGGATTTGGATCAGTAGATAGGATAGGGAGTTATCCCTATCCACTCAGAGAGCCCAGATCCAAATGCAAATTTGGATTTGGAAACTCCTAATAAGATTAGGAGGGCTGATCTAATCTACAGATAAGATAATGGCTTATCCTTATCTCTTAAAGAGAAGTCCTGATCCAAATATTTGGATTAGGAAACTCATAATGAGATTAGGAGTTCTCTTTAAGGCTATAAAAGGAGGAGGAGGAGGGCGAACCTCCATTCATCTCATCACAACAGATCTCAGATCACAGAAAGAGAGAAGACAACTACAGTAAGATTGCGCCATTTTCTGCTCTTGTGCCCTCCTCCTACTGCCAAACGAGTGCACCTCAACACATACCAAAGGAGAGGGAAGAAGAAAATGGAACATCAACTTGTTCCAATCTCATTAGAAGTGCACCTCAACACATACCAAACGAGTGCAGAAAATCCAATCTTGGTTTGGTTAGTGGGAAGTTGGGATCATTGTTGCTTTATTAACAGAAGGTTGATAAAGAAAATTAGATGATACTTGAAGGGAATTTATGTCTTTTCTCTTGACACTTAACGCAGCAGGTACTGGAATGTTGCATTTTGAAAGTTCGGTTACTAGATTGTCACGTTTTAAAGTTCGGCTACTAAATTGGTACTTAGGCTAAAGTTTTTTTTATTTATGATAGAAATCAAATACAAAATTTAATAATAATAATAATAATAATAATAATAATAATAATAATAATAATAATAGTAATAATAATATAAATAATAATAATAATAATTGCTACAAGCTAGAATTTAAGTTTATTTTTAATCATATTATTGCTTTTGTTAATTTTCAATTTCTATCTTAACTATGATATATCTAAAATTCAAGTAATTAATATGAAGTAAAATTTCTCACGTGCAACACATGTGCTTAATTACTAGTAATAATAAAAATTAAAAAAAATGAAAACTCACAAATATATAAAAATATTTTATAAAAAGCATTTGGCACTTCTTTAATATCATATATTCAATCATATTAAGTTTGATCTCCTACTATTTTGTTTTCTTATAAAAATAATATTAAGCAAAAGTAAGTGTGACAAATAAGAATAGTTTTTATAGACATAAAAATATAAAGTAATTGTAAAAAATTTGGGAACATATTATTTACTATCGTCATCTTCATCATCACCACAAATTACTATATATATATATATATTATTTGCTGATGTGGCACGGTCTAATCCATTCATTTCATATGGTTGAACGAGTGACCCACGACCCCGAGGCAAAAATGGTTCGGCCTCCAGGTTTGTTTTTTAAAACATTGATCCTTTGATGACAATATTGGAAAGCCATGTATCAAAGCTAGATTGTGTATCAAAAAGTTTCAGAGTTAGATCTGGAAAGGTTTATTCTTCTTCTGCCTTTGTTTTTCTTGCTTAAACTCTAATGCCATGTTTGTTGAAATTACTTAAGAGCTACCTCTCAACTTTTCCCTTTCTTATTTTTATCAAACTAAACATGGTTTAAATTATGGAAAGAAAATGTGTGTTACCACCTTTAAAAAAAACTTATTTGTAAGGTTGTTCATTTGATGACTGCCTTATTACTTTATTAGCAAATGGAGAAACATTCAGCCCCAATATCACTTGGATTTGGTAATTAAAAGTGTAAATGTAGAAACCGAAAGCCAATTTGCACTCATGATTCAGTTTTGTGGGTATTTGGTAAGAATACATTTTTGTATTGAAAGTGAAAATAAATTTGTTTTTTTTTTCAACTGTTTTCACATTTAAAATCAGTTAATGTAAAATAATAGGTTGATTCAAACTTCATTCTTGCTTACACCCATTACAACCAAACAAGACAATGTAAATTTATGAATGCAAAACCGAACCATAGTTCTTTCCACTTGAACAAGTTTGCTTTCACCTTTTGCACTCTTACCGAACCTGATTAGCCACATTTTATAACTCACTAATCTATTAGACTTGCCTCATAGTAAAGCTTGTGATCTCCTTTTGGGCCTAAAGCACAAACCATGATGGTATGCAGAAGATTCCTATTCTTTTTCTTCTTCTTCCCTAAGGCTGTGTTTGGTTTGAAAGATCCATCAAAAGATAGTAGACCCCTTTTCGAAGAAGAATAAAGACGATATAGTCTGAATATTCTTCTTCTTCTTCCCTAAGGCTGTGTTTGGGTTGAGACTTGAAAGATCCATCAGCACAGGACAGAAGCCTTTTTGGAGAAGAATAAGAAGATATAGCCTACAGAAGCCTTTTTGGAGAAGAATAAGAAGATATAGCCTGAATATAGAATCCACCTAGAATCCAGCTTTGCGATTACTATGATCCGCGGATAATCGGTATCCAAATAATCCGTTTCTTTCGGGATTTTTGATTTTATGGTTTTAGAATCCAATCCGGTTTTGAACCGCTAACCACGATCCGAACGCCGAATCGCAGATCGAAGCCCGAAACGAAACAAGGTGAAGCAGAGAGCGAGGTAACGGGTAAGCAATATAAGCAGCTATGGGCAATGGCGTGGAATAAATGAACAGGTGGCCTTGCCTCACTGCCTCTTGAAAAATACTCTCTCTCTAGTTCCAGAGAGAGAGAGAGAGGCTGAGTGAGCTGTGAGCAGAAAAAAAAAAAAAAGATTAAAAGAAAAAATCCAACGGTAACTATCGGACAGCGAGCCACATAGCCAAGTCTTCCGTCACAGCAACCTTACCTGACCGGCTTACCCGCCATTTTCTTTTAACTCTCTCTGGTAAAAACCCACCATAAAAATTTCCAATTTCTCTCTCTCTCTCTCTCTCTCTCTCTGAATTTCAAATTCACAACCCAACTCCTATTCTCTGTTATTGTTTCTTCCTTCTGGCCACTGAACATGAACACCAACACCACCTTAGGGCTAGGGTTAGGGTTTCTTCATCATCATCATCAAGACATCAATTCCTTCTTGTTCATGCTACTGCTCGTGCTGCTTGTTAACATTTGAGTTGCTCTGTTTCTCTAGGGTTTCATGGCGGAATCGGGGGCTCCGGGCACGCCTGAGAGCGTGCACTCCGGTGAACAAGGCGGTGGCGGCGCGCAGTCGGGTGGAACTGGTCCTCGGGAGCAGGATCGGTTTCTTCCAATTGCCAACATTAGCCGGATCATGAAGAAAGTCATTCCCCCAAATGGGAAGATCGCAAAGGATGCCAAAGATTGCGTGCAGGAATGTGTCTCTGAATTTATCAGCTTCATCACCAGCGAGTAGTTACTAAGTCCATCAACTGCTTTTGCTCTCTGGTTATCTTTCCTAATTGATTCCATTAATTGTGGTTTTAATTGATGGATTTAGGGCGAGCGATAAATGCCAGAGGGAGAAGAGAAAGACGATCAATGGAGACGATTTGCTGTGGGCCATGGCGACGTTGGGGTTTGAAGATTACATTGCACCTCTCAAGATGTACTTGCAGCTCTACAGAGAGGTACTGTTACTGCAAGTAGTGTCCTTCATTTGGTTTTGTGTTTATGCTTGTCCCAATAGAGTTTTGTAACTCCAATGGGAGGCTCATCTGTGTAACTTTTGTTTGTTCCTTTTTTCTTCCTTTTGGGTTGTCCTTGGTGGCTGACGTGATCCTTATCGGCTTACAGATGGAGGTATTTATTTCCATTTCCTGATAGTTATTTTATTATTTTATGAATAAGGATAATTGATTTTGAATTAATGGAGCAAATATTCTTACATACATTACCGGGTTAAAGGTTGCTATCCCAGGTTAATGTAGTTCATGAGTTTATTATTAGACTATAATTTGGCTTTGTATTGAACTTAAGAGAACAAATGCTAGACCTTGGCTGAGAAACTGAGAAGATGAAATGTTATTTTCTTCCTTCAGATTTTGATCACATTTCATAGCGTCAAAATGTACAGTCAGTATCTATCTTAAACAGTTTAAGCTACCCAGTATATTGAGCTCCATGTTTATGCTGCATTTGGCATTCCTTATTTTAAGGACTTGTCTGCTTTTTGCAGTTAAAAACTCAGTGTTCATAGGGGCATTTTAACTGCAAAAAGGAGATAAGTCCTTAAAATAAGGAATGCCAAACGCAGCCTTAGTGAGCTTCACTACAAATTTGGCTGCCATCTACAAGGAGCACTTCCATCCTTAACTGATTTGACCAAATCAATTTTTGATGGAACACACCTTGAACCTCCTCATGCCTTGGTTCCCCCTACCCCTTTTTCTTCACATCTACCTTCATAGTCTAATCTGTCCAGCTTTGACAAACATTGATCTAGAGGTGAAACCTTGTATTTTCCATTTTCTTCCTATGAATTTACTCTGTTTTTCCATTAACCATCCTGTAAAGTTCCTCCAATTACCATGTGATGCAGCTGCATGTATATTGTATATGGATCCACTTTGGAAGCCTAAAAGATGGCCATAAGATCTGAAAATAAGGAATGCAAGGCCACAAATAACTTCTATTTTCATCCCTATCTCATGAGAAGGTCTTGGGAGAAAAACTAGTCTATATTGGAAATGGGGTCAGCTACCTGACTCACATCCTAGGGATTTCCTAGACATGGGCTACAATACAATCAGATCATCAAATCTCCCATCCATATGAGAGGTATCTGGTTTCTCCATTTTTGGGATTCCAATGGCAGTTTTGTAATTTATATCTTTTTGACCATTGGATTGATTTCTCATTATTTCAGCTTTTTTTTTCCCGCCATATATGTATCAATTGATTAATTTAGCCAGTTAGTCTGTTCTGTTGTCTTGGTCAGATTTAATATATTTGGTCTACTCAAGTTGAAAACCCTAGGGCTTTTCTAGACATGGGCTACAATGTGATCAGATTATCAAATCTCCTGTCCATATGAGAGATATCTGGTTTCTCCATTTTTTGTATTCCAATGGCAGTTTTGTAATTTATATCTTTTTGACCATTGGATTGATTTCTCATTATTTCAGCTTTTTTCCCCCACCGTATAGGTGTCAATTGATTAATTTAGTCAGTTAGTCTGTTCTGTTGTCTTGGTCAGATTTAATATATTTGGTCTACTTAAGTTGAAATTTTTTTACTGAAGTTGCGGTTCATCACCTTCTTTCACTCTATATTTTAGGGGTCAAAACTTATCGTATTTGCTTGATTTTGGTGTCATTAGATAGGTTTTGAGACTAACACCTTGTAAATCCAATGCGTTTTGAAAGAGTTACAACTGTTTTACCAATAGAATATACGTTGGTGATGAGAATTTAATCTTCCTTTATTTTTCTTGAGTTGTAATAGCAGTAGGAGAATACCTTTTGAGGGCTGGTCAATCCTATTTTCTATAACGAGGTCCCTTTTTTATGAAAAGATAAAGTATATTGTATTAGATATTAAAAAATATTTTACAAGTCTTTGTATCTTCTATAACTAAGTCTTTGTAAGGCGGCCATCCATATTTAGAGAGAACAATTTATGCAATAAAGGTTTGATTTTTCAAATTAAAAAATTGGTATTCATGAAGGGTTTTCTTATTTCATTTTATCTCTTCAAGTAAAATGTAGGGGCTATTGATTGTTATGACAAAACTTGGGCTGACAAGTATGACAAGATGGATATGAGTCTGAGAGTGGCTACTTTGTGAAAAAATGCCAAATGTCATTTCATATCCAATCTACCCCTTCCAAGACCCTAGATAACTAGTACCAACATTGGGTAATGGCCTTTTATTTATGGGTCATTTACTAGAACACCCCCATAGTTTCACAGATTTACTTAAACCTACCCTATAGTTTGCATTTTACTAAAACACCACTTATAGTTTGCAACTAGACCTGTTTATGGGCTAGGCTCGAGCTTGGCTTTTGTCAAAATTCTAATGGGCCCGGCCCGAAGCCCAAGCTCGAGACAGTGTAAAATTGGGCCCAAAGCCCGGCCCGTGAACAAGTCTGTTTGCAACCTATTTGCTTAATTGACCTTTCATTAAGAACTATTTGTTTTTCCATCTGAAAATAGTAACATGATCACATAAAGTAACTGGAAAATGTTCAAGGGCATGGACCCATGATTGTCTATTCCAAAAGTGCCCCTAAATTGAGTGAAAAATGTTCAAGGGTATGGATTCGTGGTTGTTTATTCCAAAAGTACCATAACACTTTTTCTATAGAAAACAAAATTGACCAAATAGAGAAAAATAGAGTGGTTGTCCATGTTTTACTAGGGGAAAAAATGGCATTTTTGTTTTTAGTTTCTTTTGATTAAATTTATTTGAATGGATATTAGGGTTAAAACTGTCATTTTCTATTTTCATCTAATGGAAGGTAGATTAAGTAAATTTATTGCAAACTGTAAGGGATGATTTAGTAAAACACAAACTATAGGGTAGGTTTTAGTAAATTAATGAAACTATAGGGGGTGTTTTATTAAATGACCCATTATTTATTTTTAAATCAAGTAAGATCTGATCTTGCTCTTGCAATTCTTGAATTAAGATTTAATTTCCTTATCTTATTCCTTGATTTTTTGTTGCGTAATTAATTTTCATTACATCTTGATTTTATTATTGATTCTTTGCATGCTCATGTTATTATTTTTTATATTTCTTATTTTTTAAGGAATCTTTCTTGGAAATTCTTCTTTATTGAACTTTTTTTTTTTCTTGTTGAAACCTATTTTGCTACGTTAGTTGTTAATTCTTTTTTTTTTTTTGATTGGAAATGGTAAACTTCATTAAAGAAGAAAAAAATGGATAGGAGATTAATAGATGTGTGGTCGTTTTATTAGAACCCAAGTAGAGACTACAAACATGGGGTGAAGGGCAAATATTTGGCCTTTTTCTTTTCAACAAGTCCAAGAATTGATTTTTTGGAGTACCACCTCCTAGTAGAAAGCCCAAATTTTCCAATGTTAGAGGACTGAAGGAGGACATTAAAGAAAGAAGAGCAAGTGAAATAATTGGAATGTGTAAAGGCTTCCAAATTCTGCTATCCAAGCAAGATTGCTCCATGCAGATTGTCCCTAATAGAGTAACAAGTCAACAGGCCCCGCTTCTGACTCCCTTAACCCTTTCCTCAAGCCCCGATCCCATGAGTTATTCGTAAATAACAAAGAGATCACTTTTCTTTTGTTTTTTGAGATCGAGGGAACCTATCTCTAAGGGAATTTTCTCTAACCCAAATGTCTTCCCGAGACAACACTTTGTTTCCTACACAAGCATCATATTTGAAATAAGGAAGTAAGGAAGGCAACATACAATGAATAGTTTTCCAAGAAGAGCAATGAGAAGCCCTAGGGTCAAGACCTGCATCCCAACCATGGTCTACCAGCTCATTAGTGTGTTCGGAAGCATGTCATTAAGCACTTCGGAACACCTGTTTAAACATTTATAAAATTTTCTGACTCTCAAAAAAATACTAACGTAGTAAAGTGATGAGAACGGGTCTTATCCACAGGGAAGCGAGGGAAAAATAATTACGTACTCAGATCCAGGAGAGAGAACACAAAGGGGAGTTGCAGAAATATAAAATTAATTAATTAAAAAGAAAAAAATGGAATTCATTAAAACCAAATTCGAATAGTACTGAGAATAGCAAGTGCATAAAAATAAATAACAAAAACAAATAAATAAAAGGAACGAAATAAAAATGTTTGAGAATCCGATCAGAGGTAGCCTCCGGATCTCTCCTTCGACCCTCGAATTCTCGAGCTAGGCCTTCCGTCTTACTTGGCCGAATTTTAGATCTGCAGAAAAGAAATAAAACACAAATTAAATCTAATAAAAATAAATTTGCAGGAAGGAAAAAAATTAAACTGGAAATTAAAGAACAAAAAGTAATTCTAAAACTGAAGAAAAAAAATGGTTGGGATTCAAATCCAGAGGTGGCAGTAGTGGTGTTGGCGAACTGCAAGTAGGAACCCCTCCTCTTGCCTGGCGTCCTCCTCTCTTCCTCTACCCTTGAACTTCTCAAGATTAGCCTTCCTTCTTACCTGGGTGAATTGACCAACCCCTTCTACAGGGCCCATGAGACCTTTTTATAGAGAAGGATGGACACAACTGGAAATAGGGAGAAAGATGGGGGGAGGCAGATGGGATTTAGCAAAGTTAGGGACGCCCTAGGGTTTCTAATGGATGGTTAAAATGGTTTTGAGGTGATCCTATGGCTGAAAATAAAAGGAGAGGCGCCCAATATTATGTAGGGCTGAGATTTGGGCGCCCATAAATGAAGGGTGTAGATTAGAACATCTAAGGTTGAAGGGTTAAGATTAAAAGAATAGGTGATGCCCTAGATTGAATGGTTGGGATATGAGATGGAGGGAGTGTGTTAGGAACTGCCCAACTCAGGGACTCTTTCGAGGGAGCCTGCCTCCAGAATGAGAGAGAGAGAGAGAGAGAGAGAGGTTGTATTCCCAATTCAATAATGCCATTCGATTATAGCCTGTTGTTATTTATACACTGCTGTTATACAGCTGTTACAGTTCTGTTGTACCAGCCTCTCCACTTGTCAGTCCACTTGTCTAGTTTGTTACAATYTTTGATCTAGTGGTTGGCTGTTAGTTACAATCTTTAAAGGCTGTCGTGGCCTTTTCTTGTACACTTGTATTTCTTTAGTTTGTGTCCCAACAGTCCCTCCCCCCTTAAATTCGACCTTGCCCTCAAG